GTAAGGTCAACATTGACTTCAATATTTCAAAAAGCGCCAGGCGGGTCCTAGGCTGCCTGGGGGGTCCAAGCCGCCCAGGCGGGCGCCCAGAACCTGGGCGGCCTCGTAGAAAGAAAAATGTCTCTATAGTCTCTAACAGTATAAGTATAACTGTATAAAATATAAAAATTAGGGATTTAGGGCACATCAAAAATCAAAAGTATACTACACATCACATAGGAGCACACACTCCATGAGACCATAACCATAAGTCCATATCCAATTATGAATTATGAATTATCCATAGCCTGATTGATAGTCCACGGTCTACACTCCACACATAGTTAAAACTTAAAATTTACCAACCAAATTACCAAAGTTACCAAATACCCAACCGGTGGAACCACAAATCCACTATCCACAATACACAACCAAGAGGCAGAAAACAAAAATGAAAGGAATACTTGAAGACTCGAAAGAATCTTCAATCAATGTTCAAAGTTCAATCATCATTCATCATTCATCATTCATCATCAGAAAAAGTAGGGTTAGCTACATTTGCATGTTGTGCAACGGAGTCGATGCCATCATCATTGTCATCATCTCCCTCCTCGACATAGTGGTCATTCTCCTCTATCTCTTTTGAATTTGCCTCTACTTCGTCATCTTCCTCCACCCTCGTCCTCTATGCAGAAGATCTAGTCGCCCTAGGAGGGTCGGCTATGTCCCTAAAGCATCCATGATCATGTCCAATGTTAATCCTTCATGCCCCTTGACCTGATCATCGTCAACCAACCACTCTAAAGCATTGTCCATATTTTTTGATCTGAGGGTCTCTTTTATCTCTCTCAGCAAACCTGTCCTTCAAGAATCGATTATACTTGACATAGACTAGGTCATTGAGCCTCTTTGATTCTAGTTTGTTCATTTTCTTTGTATGAATCTAACCAAATCAAATGAAACTAATTAATAATAATAATTAAATATATAATAGTAATACTACAAAACAATCAAAACTAATAACTATTAAAGTGCTAAATTACTAATACAAATTACCCTTACCCCTTCAAAAGTACTCCAATTCCGCTCACAACCGGATGAGTTAGTGGTTAGGTTTAAGATCCGAATGGCCAACTCTTGTAAATTTGGAGCACTACACCCATGTTGGCTCCACCAATTGGCTGCAAAGCTATAGAATAAATTCATAAATAAATAATAAAATTATACAAATGAAACTTGATTACTTGAACTTAATGAACTTAAGAATATTATTATCTGGATCAATTTTGGTCCTTTGCCTCATCGCCATTGGACTCCCAAAAAACTTTAATGCACGCTTGTAATTTATCAGCTCATCAGCACATATAATATCCTAGATATCCGGATCAGGGACTAGCACATCTACACACTTATTAAATCCAGTCATTTGTGTGTATATCCGTATCAACATAAAAAAAAAAGCTGAGTTCAAATAATAACCAGTTGCATGCAATGGCCGATGTAGCTGCCTATCGTACTTCTCATTAATAATCTTCCAAGCAAGCTTATAGCGGTTTTCATCATCTAAATTTTGGGCTATCTTTATCTTGCATCTCTCTATAGCCTCATATATGTAGCCCATAGAAGTCTTGTCACTATCAACCATGTGAAGGACTTTGATAAGAGGAAAAAGTACTTTAAGAGCATCTTTCACCCCTCGCGAAAAAGCCTTAGAAAGGATAATATCTCTCACCTTCTTCCTAACCTGATCCTTGGACCACTTGCATGCTCTCCAGTCATTCGAGGCAAACATCTGCCTCAACTGGACTCTCCTCAAATGTATGCTATGTAGGCATAAGTATTAGGTCGCAAATCTCGTGACCAGCTCACAATCTCTTTCTTCTTTATAAATCTACGCATCATGTTGAGGGTGAGAGTGTGGCTATAAATGAAATTTGTAACTAACTTTGCCATCTTCACTGCACTTGATATTTCGGTTAAACCGTCAAGAGCCTCAAGCATGAAGTCTATACAATGTGATGCACATAGTGTCCAAAAGATTCTAGGGTAAACTATGCGCAACAAATTAGTAGTAGCAACATTAGGAGCAGCATTGTCTGTGACAACCTGTATAACAAGTTGCTCCCCAACCTCCTTGATTCTCTTCTCTATAACTTGGAATATGTAATGGGCATCATGGATATGATCAGATGCATCAATAGACCTAAAAAAAACAGTCCCTAAAAGACATTTCACTAGCAAATTCATCTGACTTCTTCTCTTCCTATCACTCCAAGCATCAATCATAATAGAAACTCCATATTGAGCCCATGCTTTCTTTTGAACTTCAACAACATCCTTTGTGACACTCACCGCTTTTTTCAAAAGAGGCTCCGAAAGCTCATATGGGGTTGGGGGTTTCATTCTAGACCCAAATTGGCCAATTTCCTCTACAAAGGCGTAGAAGCTACTTAGGCGAGCGGTGTTGAAAGGAATGCTTGCCTCATAAAACCATGTAGCAACAAAAAATGCAGCTCTATCTCTCTCTTCCTTCTTGATTCTATTTTCAATGGTGGTTTGCTTCTTTGTTTTCTCTCCTGCAACCTCAAGGGCAAAAAACAATCCATAGGGCCTCTAACCCGAGGCTTCTTAGGCACCGAACTCCCAGAATCAATTACAACTCCCTTTCCCTTCCCCCTAATAACGGATTGTTCTACCTCTTGACATCCCTCCCCGTTCTCGTCACTGTCATCATCATCATAACTAACCGAAACCCCAGACCTAATCTCTGCTATGAAGGCATGTCTCTCATCTTTTTTCATTTTTACAAGACTTGAAAAATTGTTTATTCCCTCTTTAACAGCGTCAGGAGTTTTTTTACATGGGCCAACATCCCCCCTGATACCGGCAAGATGTTTCTTGAACCGGTTTATGCCCCATTTTGTATTCTTTTCACAAAACTTGCATCTTATCTTGTGCAATTTTTATCGAAAGGATTTGGATTGTCGCCATATTTTCAACCCGGATCACCACTTGGATTTGATCCCGAAGAAGACATCTCAAAATAATACAATTTATACAAGCAATAAAAAATATCACTTACTTTGATTGCTCGATTTCCAAACTTCCACCTCTAAGATGTTTCTAAGGTCTCAAAATCTTCTAAAAAAACCCTCTAATAGATTTATAGAACATCCAAAATTAAATCTAATGTCAATGGGTGATGTTTTGATTAATTTCTCATAACTTTGAGAAACCCTTCGATCTTATGGAAATCACCAAAAACTAGTTTTTTGGGGTTTTTCTTTCTTTAAAATAGGCTCTAATGGGTTTTAGGTTTCAAGTGAACCTAAAACCCACAATTTTGGCCATTTACTATTAAAAAAATGACACAAAATGCCCCCAACGAGTGGCTTTTCTGTCTCTGGGCAGTGCAAGCCATAGGCGACCGCCCAAGGCTAGGCGATGGGCGCCCAACTAGGCGGGTTCCCCGGCGCCTGGTGATTTCCGCGTTTTTAGGCACCTAGGCCTAGGCGATGCACCCAGGCCTTCTGGACCGCCCAGGCGCTGGGCGGTCTGCTTTTTTTCCAAAACCCCTCGCCTCTTACTGTATCCCCTCAAGCCCTAGATTAGCCTTCATCTCATATCCTTGTTCGTTAATCTATCCACCACGCTTGCTAGTCTTGCTGATTTCATGTCACCCTAATTTTTACTCTAGATTGATCCCAATATCATACTGGTTGTTGTCGGAATGGTAATTTCCAGTAACCAACAAGTCCTATAACCTCCCACAATTTAATCCTAATACATTCGTGACTTCTTGTAGGAGTCAAACCCAATTGGTCCTACATTATCATTTATCTTAGATTATTCTATAATATATTTATTAATTTTTCCCTTATTGGTGTTATGAGCATTGGACCGGCCACCAAAGTGGGTGAGGGATTTGGTCGAGTCAAAACCAGTTCAGTCACTGGTCGAACCGGTTAGTATGGATTTTCATAAAATAAAAATGGATTACCAAAACAGGTCAATCAAAATTGAACTTCAACAATTGCTCTCTAGGCAAAATTACCCTTGCTTCATTCTCAAAGCACTTAGGCCATGTGAACTTCCAATTGGCAGAGGCTCTTGCCCTTCTCAAAGGCCTTAAACTCTTCGACTCCTCTTGGAGTTCAGTTTTGATCATTGAAGGAGATTCCATGAATGTCGTTTCATGGGCCTCAGGCTCTTCAACCTGTCCTTGGACACTTGTTCACATTTTTTAGGATATTTCACACATCTGCTCTACAGGCTTGTGGACGTCTCATGAAGACATATTTGGCGAGAAGGCAACTCAGAGGCCGACATTCTCGCTAAGGATGGAGCCGGACGTGTCAATGTTTGGGGTAATTTTTGGCCATCCATTGAGATCTTCTTTTTGCAACACAAAGGGGTACCCTCTCCTCGAGTTGTTATTGGACTAGTACTGTATAGCCCACCCCCTTGGTGGTTTTCTGTATAGAGCTCCCAATTTGTGGGAAGCCATTTTTTGTATAGAGCTTCCTGTTTGTGGGTAACCTATTTTTTAGTAATTTGTACCTTTTTCTCTAACTCAATACAAACGTTAACATTCTTATACAAAAAAAACAGTTTATAGGGGAAAAAAAAGGCCAACTTTGCTTAAACGACACCACTAGTCAAACCGACTAGTCAAGTATTAGTTTCGACCAGTTTTCACCAAACCTAGTGTTTGCCTTGGACTGGATTGGCCAATGCACCGGTTAGCGGTCCAACTGGATGGACCATGTGGTCCTGCCCAGTCTTGATCACTATGATTTTCATTACCTTGTTCTAGAATATCTCCTGCATGGAACTGCATTCTGTATTGCTGAATGTCTTTTTAATCATTTAACATTTCCTAGTTTGTATTTGATGAACTTCTGTCCTAATGAAAGTGTATTGCACAAAGGGTCACTTGGTCATACTCAATTGTGAATATATGAGTTGGTACCTTCTTTCTCTTTGTTTTTTCCTTAAATAATTTATTTGGTACAAAGCAGGAAACCAAAAAGGCTCTAAGCAGTCTACCCCAGCCAATGGTGGAGATATACAGAAAGTACCCCCAATTGAAGTTCCTGCATTGCCATTAGAAGAACTTAAAGAGAAAACTGACAATTTTGGATCAAGATCTTTGATTGGTGAAGGATCCTATGGGCGAGTCTATTATGCGACTCTAGACAATGGAAAGGCTGTGGCGATTAAGAAGCTTGATGTTTCGAATGAGCCTGAACCAAATACAGAATTTTTAACTCAGGTACGTTTTCAAGACTCTTGCTATGTAAAATTTTAAGCTATTAAGTACTTCATAATATTTATTTGTTTGTTACTCTTCTTGTGGCTTTTGGCATATATGATGTTCTGTACAATCGTTTCTGTGTATCTCAAAGGTTTCTATGGTCTCAAGTCTGAAGCATGACAATGTGGTTGAGTTGCTGGGCTACTGTGTTGAGGGAAACTTCCGTGTATTAGCATATGAATTTGCAACCATGGGTTCTCTACATGACATACTGCATGGTTTGTCAAATTTCGTCCTTGTTAAACAGTATTGTTTGTCACAAGATACTGTGCTGCTATGAATATATAATCAGTTATACATTAAAAATTCTCCTTCTAATTCTTATTTTCTTGCATGTGCAGGAAGAAAAGGAGTTCAAGGAGCTCAGCCTGGTCCAGTGCTTGATTGGATGCAGCGAGTGAGAATCGCTGTTGATGCTGCAAGGGGACTTGAATACTTGCATGAAAAGGTCCAACCGTCTATCATTCACAGAGACATCAGATCGAGCAATGTCCTCCTATTCGAAGAATTTAAAGCCAAAATTGCAGATTTCAACCTTTCAAACCAGGCTCCAGATATGGCTGCTCGGCTTCATTCCACTCGAGTCTTGGGAACTTTTGGTTACCATGCCCCAGAGTAATTTTCTTGCATACCTTCTGTTTGTCTTTATTGATTTTACTTCGTACTTCAATCATTCTACTAGATATAATATTTAGTCTTAAGCAGCTTACATAAATTGTTTTGTGTTGAGTTACTTTAATCATTGCAAATTTATACCAGATGCTGAGGGTTACATTTGTGAATTTATAGTGTGGTTAGATTAATTTGCTACAGGATCATGTGAATGCATTTAACCAAGTGGTGGCTATAACAGATTGCAAGGGTCTCACCTATTATTTTCTTGAAAGAGCTTTTAAAGTTCTTTTGCTTGGAATATGGAGTATTAAACATTTTTACATCTTTATCCTGTTCCTCTTTGTGGGTTCTGTTCCATGGATCAATATTTGTGTATGCACTTGTGTGTGTGCGTGTGTGTACGTTTGTGTTCTGGGTTTGAGGAGTCAGGATGCCATGGCAATCACATGTCGTATTTTGTGGCCTCTTTTTCACTGAGAAATAGCTTCTTCTTTCTGCCTTCTAATGTTTCTGTTGCTGTTCGGGAATCTTTAGTTTGTAGTGCCAGTGTTACATGGACACTTCATTTTTCTCATTGTGTCGTGTCGACACGGGTGTGGCATGTTGTCAGTACATGTCGGGCCATTTTACATATTTGCAGTACTTGTCAACACTTCATAAAGAAGTATTGTCACTCTTTTATTCATTGATAATCTCATGCCCACGTGGAAGAGTCTGCATTTTTTACCTAAGCAGTCTTGAGATTGATTCCCCTTGTGAGAGCATTTCTTTTAAGGGACTCAACCTTCTTTCGAACTTTATAAGATCGCATTTATTTTCAAAAATAAATGCCAACGGGAGGTTTAGAACACGATATGTGTTGAATTGGAATAAAACACGTTACCACCATGCATAGTGCTTAGTTATTTAAATTAAAAGATAATGAATATATTATTGATAGTTATTTAAACTAAAAGATCAACTATATTCATTTATTATAATGTTATTATCATATCAGATTGTCCCGCAAAGAGCCTCCAAGATTTAAATGTGATTTATATTCTAAAGTGTAAATTGCACTTTGTCGAATTCAAGCCTACCATCCTTATCATAATATCAAATTATAGATGATTCTACTAACACAACTATGAAATGTGTATGACATGCATTTTGCAAAGCATTATTTTTGCATAAATAAAAGAATATATTTTTATTTTTCTTGTATAAAATGATTTATATTTCAAGCATATTACATATTTTACTTTCTAAAATTTTATATTTTTTTATCTTTTATATTTTTGGAATTATTTTATTATTTATTTGTATATTATGTATAGAAGGTTGTGCAGATATGTCAGAGCCCTAGTGGGCCAAAGTACTAGATACTGAAGGGTGCTAAAGGATTTCATAAACTGCATTGTGCAAATACTCAAATGCTGCAATTGTTTGCTGGTCCTTAATTAATTATTTTGCATATTTTACTATTTGGTAGCATATTTTATCATCCATAAACGTGCATTATTGCCTCATGCACTTTGACCCCTATCTTCCTTAAAGCAAGCAGTTGCACCTTGCTATATATGTGACAGTTATGTTGGGGTTGTCTAGATTAAGAAGGCTTTTCAATTCCGAGTAATTCATTACGAAACTAAGAAGCAAGGCAGACTAATGCCCTCTAAGTATGCCTCAAAAATAGTGTTTAGGACCTGTGTGTTATATGCAAATATAAATCTGGAAAGAAATCTTGTTGAGCGATCTTCTGGCTGAGGTCTATGCAATATATATTGTGAAAGAATTCCAATCACATCTGTTAGATTAGTCACTTGCCTCCTAATTGCTGCCATGTACTGGGCATATTGGCATTATAAAGTTGAGCTAACAATTTGTGTATGTGTGTGTGTGTGTGTGTATATATATATATATATATATAGGGAAAAGATCCTATGCGCCCAGGTGCGCACTTCTACAGTAAATGCCCAAAAATAGGCGAATCTACAAAAAATATCAAAAAAAAATTTACATGAAATAAATTGACCAAAATACCCCCAAAACGTTTTGGAGTGTATTTTGATCAATTATTTTTTTCACGAATTATTTGTTTTGTATTTTTATTAGGTGCGTCTTGATGAGAAGAACACACGCCTAAAATTTCAAGTGATTTGGATTTGTAGAAAACAGATTAAAATTCGAACACTATCGGACATCCGTGAGCGTTAGAATGGCCGAGATTCAATCTGGGCCATTCGCGTATGGGGCTACAGCAGTGACTCCCCATATATATA